GAACTAAAAGTACTTACTTCGGGTCCACGCAGCGCAGGCAGGCTCCCCCGTCGACAGCGCTTCCTCCTCTCGGCGAGCAGGAGTTCCGCAGTCGACGGGGGAGCGCTTCTGGGATCTCTCTATCGCGTCCAGATGAGACGCGATAAATCGATCCCAGAAGATCAATCTCTACCCGCCGAATTAGGCGGGTAGTGTGGACCAGCCCTAAGTCCCAGTTTTAACTGCTGACCCTTCACAACTTGCCTATTTCTGCACTCTCATATCTTACTGTCTCCCCTCCCTGCGCCGCCTCCGCCTCACCACCAGCCTCCATTTGTCTACTTCTCCCCAACACCTTTACACTTTCTTCCATGCCTTGATGCCCTCTATAGGATACTAACCTTGGGTTCAAAGCTTCATTTGCTGTAATTGAACAGGAATTTATTAATATTTATACAGGGAAATGAATGTGTAAAGTACCAGCCGTTCATTATTAAGTATTGTGCAACTATTGTCCGTTTTGCTATTTATACTGCAGTAGCACCTATCGGCCCCACTCAGGGACGTGTTGCATTAGGTGCTAGACACACATTTAATTTAAAAATAAACAAAACACAGTCCCTGCCTCAAGAAGCTTTAAATCGTAATACATGACAGGAGACAGTAAGTGAATTGAAAGGAAGGATTACCTAACAGTTAGGGTGCCGTCCTGGGACTCGGGAGAGCTAAGTGCAATTCCCTGCTCTGGATCAGACTTCCTCGGTGGTCTTGAGCAGTCACTTGGTCTCTCTGTGCCTCAGTCCCCCTTCTGCAAAATGGGGATAACAGCGCTTCCCTACTTCACGGGGTGTATTGAGGATGAATGCATTAAGGATTGTGAGGCACTCAGATACCATGGTGCTGGGGGTCAGATAAGCACCTAAGCTAGACAGATGCAAGTGGCAAAGAAGGAGAATAAGATAACAGTGAAAAGATCACATTTAGAATAAGCAGCAGAAGCCCTGACACATCAACTGCCTAACCACATTGGATTCTAAACGACTGTGAAGACATATCGAGGCTGTAAGGGGAACCCCACACTTGGGACTTTTATCTATCCTAGTTCTATAGCTCCAAAAAGATGTACTACTGGGAACAAACCTACTCTGATAGGGAGATGAAGTGATGATTTGTCTTTTCTATCTCCAATTTGTATAATTCTATACAATCACTTGGGCACACTTAGCATATGCTGAGAAATTGTTATGTTATGCAACTACCACACAGGAGTGTTTTGAGGACTACTTAAATATGTGCACAGCACTGTACATTTTCAAAGTTCTGTAAGAGTGCTACATATTAACGAGCTGCTTATTTTAAACTTTCCTCCCCCAAGAAATCAGGGTATGCAGTTTTAAATTCAAATAATCTAAAGTCTCTAGGTATTCATTGGAAATACCTTCCTTACCTTCCGAAAGATATATTCTGTATGTCAGTGACAATACACCTCTACCCCGATATAACGCTGTCCTCGGGAGCCAAAAAAATCTTACCACGTTATATTGAACTTGCTTTGATCCACCGGAGCGCGCCCCCCGCACCCCCCTCCCCGGAGCACTGCTTTACTGCGTTGTATCCGAATTTGTGTTATATCGGGTCGCGTTATATCAGGGTACAGGTGTATTACAAAATAGGGACAGAAACAATCTCTCTAGACATTTCTGCTAGGAAAGCTCGGCTTAAAAGGACGGATCCAGATTTCACTAAGGTCCTGGTTTTTATACCCATTTTTCCAGCTGACTTGACTGACGTATAGCCGATTCATATCTCAAACACCGTATCTGATTATAGTGGCCTTTGCTGGCACCAATGTAGCTAAGGTAAGCATCAGAGTTTCCAGTATAAAACATTTGTACAGGTTTATAACTTGGCTCTAAAAATTCTACTCCACGGTACTGTGGGAGGTAGGGAGGGTCAGATGAGCTCATTATATTAAATTCTTTATGTGATACAATACTGAGGCACAATGGTACATGAAGGCAAGGGTCAGTTTTAACTCTGAATTACCTTGCTGTGACCTAAATGATATTTAGTTTTCTTGTTAATGTATTCAAAGACGTTTCAGCTAATTAACAGCTTTAATTTATCTGACTTCACAATTCAATTTAAAACATATAGGATCTCTATATAAACAGGAATGGGAACAAAATATTTCTATTGATCATATTTATGTACACATTAAACCTAAAAAACCTTTCCCTCTGGAAGCCAATTTTAGCTAGTTTTCAAAAGGCTCAGCTTTAAGGGGATGGGATGTTCCACGCTGTTGGAAAATACAATGCTGCCATTTGAAGAAAGAGGATTAAATCAAGAACAGGGCTGAACAAAAGAACTGCAGGTGTTTGTCTTTTACCAAAGGATGAACTTATAGGAACCCAGATAGAAAATAGAGCTTTACAGATTACTTAAAAGTCTGTTCTTTAAATCAACATGTATTTCTGGTCACCTGTATTGTATTTCCTCTAGGCCACAGATGTATATAACACAGCTGTCTGCTACAGCACAGCAACATTAAATATAAAAACTTGCTATTAAAGGGCAGAGGGTAATGGCATTAGTGTGGGCGACCCATGCTCAGGTAGTGATCAACTATTAACTCCACTTCAAGTAGGCTGAAAATATGCAAGTGTAGCCAGCACGGTTTTTAGATAAAATTGTCAGCTTTATGGATATTTATAGTATGTGTCCAGTCTTGCAGAACTCCATCTTCCTCCATCTCATTTGTAATATAAACTGCTTTTAGCCCCCATTAATACATTGTGTTACTGGAATACTTCTCACACTTTGTATAAGCAAGGCAGCAGATCAATACCCAGCTACACTGAGGAAACGAACCATTACCGCGGAATCCTGTTAAAAGCACACTTAGAGGAATAAACTTGATGCATAACCATAGCTCCATTCGATTTGAATAAATATTTAGGTTTGTGCATATTTTTAAAGTGGCTTTTTGACTCAAATCCTATTTTTAAAAGGCCATTATAACAAGGGAAACACTAACAAGTAACCTAAAACTAAATCCATTTCACTTCAATCTCTTACCATCTCGGCTACTTACCCAAACTATGTGTTTGGAAAAAAAGGCTCCTTCCCCGCCCCCCCCCCCCCGCCATCCCCCAGAGGAGCCACTTTACTCCTGTAATTCCTACAGTGAAATCATAGCACTGAATTTGTGACAGCTATTTCCATCATATAGGTGGTTGGGGGGGGGGGGTCACAAGCATAGGTCTGTAACCTCACTGAAGGATCAAGCAGAAGGAGAAGCAAAACGGAGGAAGATGTTTATTAATACTCAACAGCAGCACACTGAAATCAAAGATACCAGCCACATACATTGATTTTTTGAATTTTTTTTTTAAAATTTGCTCCACTATGAAAGTCTCCATATAAAAGGCTCACTTCTGAACATGGTCAATTTTTATTTATTTATATTTTGCATGTATAAAATGCACACTTCCATATGTACCTGAGCACTTAGTAAAAACTTATGAAAATCTACCTCAGACACAACCTACATAATCTTTTCCCTGCTGCACCCTCCCAGGCCACCACCTAGGACCAAAAAGGATGTTGTGCCCTGTAGGACAACCAACTTGGACTGTGAGACAGACATTAACTGCAAAGTTGAGGTCCCTCTACTGAAATAACCTGCCTCCTGCCCAGTTATGTTTAAATTAAGAAAACATTAGCGTCAGTGTCCTAGCTGACTTTTGGTACTGTAAAGGACTATGGAAAAAGAGATGGTTTCTCAGACAGCCAGGGTCCAAGCCCCAGAGAACCCTTTTGGAATATCAGAAATTTACAAAGGTGCATTTGATATGTTAAAGACCACTGCTTTGGATTAATAGGACCCGATCTCCATTGCCTCTTGAGCATTCAAGCAATCTTAACTCCACTGAAATCAACAGAAGTTAAGAGTACGATGTACCTTGAAGGATCAGGTGCTCAGTTAATACTCATAAGATAGTGAGACACGACTGGAAAGACCCAAGACCATCAATAACCCCACTCAAATCTGTTATAAAATTGATCTTGTGAGATTAAGTTTATTCTGTTTTTTATTTTCTCCCATCCACCACAAGTGACTTGTCTCTTTGTCTGTTTGTTTCTATTGGGCTCTCAGTACCATAGATCCTTTCAACACCACCCTTAATCATTTTCACAACTCTAGTTGCCACGACAACAGGATGCAGCTTATCTGTGCTGTTTTCATTTTTCCAGTTTTCGTTGCCATAACAACGCAATCATTCTGGCTTCCTACAAAAACAGCAACTTTAACTCCATCTTCTCAAGGACACTGGAATCTCCCATGAAGATACATGGACAAGGATTAGCTTTATACACACAATTTTAAAAGAAGAAGATTCTTTTGAAGGGAATTTTACACTCATCGAAGTGAGAGGCTGACAGTAACTGCAAGAGCCCAGCTGCCGAGACATCAAAAGCTTTGCCTTTAATAATAGCTCAAGTAATATAGCATTAGGCCACTTCTGAGCAGGGACTCCCAATAGTGTCAGCTTGTGTCAAACTACAGGATTGTTATGTGATGTGAGCAAATGTCCACACTTGTTTCACCCAATCAAATCTGAATTAGGCTCTAGATGCGAGTCTCATGTGTATTAACCCACTGGCCTTCACATTATTAACACCACCATACAGCCTTACATGTGAAGACTCATTTTAATTCTGTAATTTGAGCTTTGCTGCAGATTTCTTTTCAGACTCCCATCCATTCCCCCTTATGGCAATTCTGTTTTGAACTTTCCTTCATAAGAAGTGTAAATTCCTAAGATTTAGGAAGAAAAGGTGATGCACACAGAACATACACATATACAAAAACCACAAATATATGACTATGCAAGATATTAGCTTACACAGCACTGTAACTTAATAGGACCTTTACATGTACTTTACTAATGAGACGAGCACAAGTGTCTGGCACAATCCCTCACAAGAGATGAGAAACAGGAATACAGTCCAACCTGCTTTAGCCATGCTTGGTATCCAGAAGATGTAAGTTGGAATCCATCTTTGGGCATGTGTATTCGGGGCTAGGAGAGAATAAACATAAAAGAGACCTCCTTTTACATTTGGACCTGGCTAATCTAATCTAATTTCTGGACGATTTTAAGCAATGCAAATGTTTTTAGCCACACATGCAGTTTCAGTCCCCAGATAAGCTCCTGCTAAAAATCACTATTCTAGCATCAGCTTCCCTGAGGGCTTGATACTTTCCTCATTAGCAATGAAAACCAACATTTTCCACTATTTTACATTATGGCCTTGCGCATACTGGCGCTTCTCTTAAAATTCCCCCCAAATTACTACAAGTGCAGCTCTAATGTCAGGCGTACTAGCATAGACCAGCCGGTGGCACGTTTACCACTGGGCAGTGGCAAAATGCCAGCAGCTAGTCTATACTAGTGCTTCCACCATTGCTCCCCCACCCCCACACCCCCCGCCGAGTGGAGCTGCTCCAGCCATAGCACAATGGTCAGAGATTTCAAAAACACCAGTGTACAGACAGCCTCAGCGTGGCTGGTGGTGGTGATGGTAAATATTAGCACCAAACAAGTTACATTTATAAGTTAAAGACTAACACAATCCCTCCCCACCACATTTCATACACAGTTATTGTTTCCTCCCCTGTCGAGTCTAGGAAAACACAAGCCATTAGGTTGGTCCCAGTATACTATAGATGGACATGGCAATTTTTTTGTATTTTTGCCAGCTATAAACAGGCTGTCATAGCATTATTTTGCAACCCAAAGGAACCTTTACAATCTAATGGACTCAACAATGCCCCCCAATGTGGGAGATGTTTAGAAATTGACAAAACTGTATCTTACATAAATTGTTTCTGCCTTGAGTGTAGATTATAATATACACAGAATGGGTGAAGCAGAAAATGAAGTCACAGTGGACCAATAAACCTTTAACGAAATAGGTGGCTATCCTTGTTTTTATTTCAGACCCTACGGAGTAGGACATACACAGCTCCAGTTCTACCGCTGAACAGAAGCCTGAACATTAGCAGTTCAAAAGAGATTTACTAATACTAAGTTTCTTTTGCTCACCTCTGGTAGAAATTAAACACCTCTCAAAAGCAGTAGAGAGACTAACCCCAGTGTCCTGTCAAACACAAGTTTTAATAACCAAGACTGTGCTGGTGAGCTACTGCCAAGTATAGATCGTAGGCAAATGTGGCAGCTGAGTCTCTGCTTTAGCAATATTTAATGCACTACTTGGATAGCAGAAACACGACATGCTTTAGTGCAGTGGCTCTTACCCTTTCCAGACAATTGTACCCCTTTCAGGAGTGTGATTTGTCTTACGTACGCCAAGTTTCACCTCACTTAAAAACGACTTGCTTACAAAATCCGACATAAAAATACAAAAGTGTCACAGCACACAATTACTGACAAATTGCTGACTTTCTCATTTTTACCCAAATCAATTAGAATATAAATATTTTACTTACATTTCAGTGTCTAGTATATAGAGCAGTATAAACAAGTCATTGTCTGGATGAATTTTAGTGTGTACTGACTTCGCTAGTGCTTTTTATGTAGCCTGTTGTAAAACTAGGCAAATATCCAGATGAGTTGATGTCCCCCCAGCAAGACCTCTGTGTACCCCCCGGGGTATGCGTACCCCTGCTTGAGAACCCCTGCATCAGTGGACTGAGAGCCTGGGTGGGAGCAGGGTGCTCCTGAGTCCTAACTCCAGCTCTGCCACTAGCTTGACAGGTGGTTAGCTTGTCTCTGTAAAATGAAGAGAATACTGATTTAACCCATCTCACAGGGCTGTTACAATTAGCTGATGTTTCTATACACATAGCTATTTACCTATTCAATGGTTGGCTTCAGAGTAGCAACCGTGTTAGTCTGTATCCGCAAAAAGAACAGGAGTACTTGTGCACCTTAGAGACTAACACATGTATTTGAGCATAAGCTTTCGTGGGCTACATGCATCGTGGGATGCATCCGATGAAGTGGGCTGTAGCCCACGAAAGCTTATGCTCAAATAAATGTGTTAGTCTCTAAGGTGCCACAAGTACTCCTGTTCTTTTTACCTATTCAATGTAAGTGCCAAGTATCAAGAAGGAAGCACTGTACAGCAGGGGTTCTCAACCTTTTTCTTTCCGAGCCCCCCCCCCGGCATGCTATAAAACCTCCACGGCCCACCTGCGTCACAACAACCAATTTTTTGCATATAAAATCCAGGGCCAGTGTTAGGGGCTAGCAAATAGGCCAATTGCTTAGGGCCCCATGCCACAGGGAGACCCATGCAGCTAAGCTACTCAGGCGTCAGCTTCAGCCCCAGGTGGTGGGGCTCAGGGCCTCGGGCTTCAGCCCCATGCAGCGAGGCTTCGGCTTTCTGCCCTGGGCCCCAGTGAGTCGGATGCTGGCCCTGCTTGATGGACTCCCAGAAACCTGCTCGCGGTGGGGGCCCCAGACCCGTGGTCAGGGCCAGTGCAAGGAAGTTTCATGCCCTAGGCGAAACTTCCACCTTGCGACCCCCCCCCGAGCCCTGCGGCAGCTCCCCACCCCCTGCCCCCCGCCCTGAGGCGCCCCACCCGTGGCAGCTCCCCCCCCACCGGGAGCCGTGCGGCAGCTCCCCACCCCAGCTCACC